ATAGTGCATTAAAACTCACAAAACTAGTCTTATACCAGTTTGCTTTAAGGGAAAAAGCTTGTTTTTTTTGGGTGCAAGACAACCCCATCATTTACAACACATGCTGCTTGTCAGGGCCCAGATTAGCTCTCATATGGCTGATTCCTGTACTCCTTGATGTCAATGGAGATCATTACATCCTGGCAAGCTTGTGCTGTATTCTGAGAACTATCCTTCTTTTTTAATAGCGCTGTCTCAGTTTGGAAATTAGAGCTCAAACCATTATTACCTCTTTGAGTTATCATTATGAGTAGCATGGATTCTCTGACTAACTAAAGTTGCACTTTGTTAAAGTGTTACGCTACCTTGATTTTTCTGTATTTTCATCTGAACAATGGGGAAAAATATTAAAAAACTGTCACTGTGCAACACCAAAACAGAAAAGCTCTACAGACTAAATAAACATTTTAAATTTAAATAAACAAATAAATCTGTGTGAGTGGCTTAACTGGACCAGCTTTAATGGCATCATTATTAATGGTTTTAGTTAAATTTGTAAATTGTTATATTTATTAATTTTGTCTTATGGTCAAGTTGCTTAAGGCCATAATTGTAATAAGTGATACAAAATTTATACTATATATTGTATACTGCATATTCAGCCATAGTTTATGAATACAACTATTAAATTAAATGAAAAAGATAATATAAAATCTAATGAGTACTACATTTTCAGAACAAGCTGAAAGTACCAAAAATCAAATATTCACATTTTTAAAAAACGTTTTAAAGAGTATTTACCTCCAGTTAATTAATAACACTTATTGAATTTAAAAGTGAAACAGTACTTTCAATTCTGCTCATGCTACTTATGTAATGGTAAGTGTATAGCTTACCATAACTATACCATAACATCACAATAAGCTGTTGTGGCAAGAAATATACACCTGTAAATTTGCATTTTTAAAAGAGCGATGTAGGTGCATATATCCAAAACAATCACTACAAAATAGAGCTTCTTTCTGATCCGTTCCTTTACAAATTAAATTGAGGAAATTAATTTTCTCTGTGAAATCCTACTGTACCTTTTATGGTACTGTTTCAATTGTATTGTTAAAAGAAAGTTTTCCTTAAAGTGGAGGATTTACAACAATATTGTTATGCTTTTTAAAGTACTGGTAGACAAACCTGGTAGAGATACTCTATGTAGAGGTACAGTTCCTGACTTGTAAGCACTGTAATGACTTTTGAGTGCTTTTATGGGGTACATTTAAAAATATTTCAGTTATAGCCAAAACATACAGAGTAAGCTCATTTTATTAATTTTGAATTGTTTTTCAAATATTTCAGATTAACAAAAAATACAAAGTACAGACAGTTAAATCAAATAAAATGCTTGAAATGCCATTGAAAATGTATAATGTTTTTTTTTCAAAAAGTGGTTGTAAATCCTTTACAGTATGCTTTTATACACATATGAGAACTTTACATTACAAAAATGATCAAGTTTCATGCAGTTAAGTTCTTCCAATTAAAACAGGATAGCACAATATATTGATTAGACTTCCATACAAATGTTTCAGAAAAATGTTTTATTGCTATGTTATATGTTAAGGTTGCAAGAATTAGAAGTAAAATTACTCCATTTAACTTTTTCTTCACAAATGTTTAGATAACAAGGACAAATAGACTTGCTTTTGACCCCAAGGCTGTCATTTATAAGCACAAGATTAACGTGCTTACAGCAAAATAATGTCTACCTTACTGAGTGAAAAAATGTGCCTTCAATAGACCCCTCTGGGGTCTGCAGATTTAAGAGTGTTAGTAACAGTTACAATGAAAACAGCCTAAAGCTTTTTCTGCTACACAATCAGACAAGCCATTGTTTAGGACACATTAGGACCATTTTAATTGGTCGTTGGGGAAGCTGTGAAGGGAACAGGTTTTACAGTTCTGCTTCATGAAACAGTGACACCCACTTCTCTGAGTCAGACCATTATCCTGTCTTCACTAAACATCATATCACCTCCAAGTCACATAGACAGGTTTGGTTTCTTTACACAGGAGAAGGTTCCATGTTTAATTATTTGAAAGCTTTTGATCAAGTAAAATCAGATTCATTCAAATACTGTATATCCACACAAATGTGGTCTGTCCAAATTTAAAATAAATAAGTAGAATTAAACTTTACCTATTTCATACTGGAGAAATTCTCCTCAGCTACACTATAATGGAAGAAAACATGAGATAAGAAACAAATAATAAATATTAATTCACTAGTTCACTTAAGACTCATCTGTATTATTGAAGTCTTAAGATTTTATTGCTCACAAAACCCTAAATAAATAACATCAATCATTTGGGTTGCACAGAGGCATAGCAGTTAGCACTTCTGCCGCACAGCTCCTACTGTAGGTGTGATTCTGGTCTGAGAATTTGTTTCTGCATGGAGTTTGCGAGTCTTCATGACAGCACGTTGTTTTTTTCCATATGCTCCCACAGTCCAAACCCATGACGTTTAGGTTAATTGCTATCTCTAAATTGTAGGCATAGAGGTTAATTTCTCACTGAAAAGTAGAAAGAAACAAATAACTCTTCTTCAAGTTGACAGAAAGCTCAGCAGCTTTTTTTCTTTTCTTTCTACTTTTCAGCATGTACAGTAATCAATCTCTGCTTGTTCCTTTGCAGCTTCCCATTTGAACATTTCTAAACTGTCCCCCACACGTGAATGTGAGTGCATGTTTGCCTTGTTACAGGCTGTCTTCCCATCCAGAGTGTCACAGTAAACCAGTTTAAGGTCTGGTTTACTCTGACAATGTGTTAGACTTTGTGGTTATTAAAAATGGATGGATAATAAATAAAAGTTATTAATTGAAGTTCAAGAGAGATAACAACAACACGTTAATCTCACACAGCTGTGCTTAATCACAATCAGTAAGGAAATTAGCTAAATATATCAAACACAGACATCTCTCTTTGCATTCATCTCAAGCACTCCTCCTCCACCTTGCTACTGTACCTCTTGGTTAACACATCTCTGAGGTTCAAGCCTCCTTATCCTATGGCTAGGAGGCTATGCATTAATCAAACAGGTTAAGCCACATCCATTGCAGCAAAAAACCCAAACATTCACAAGCATCTAATTCTTGCATATTGTTGTCCCTCTTGAAATTAGGTTTAGATTTTGTAGAGAATGTATATTATTTTTTTTTATGTAAAGCTAATATAACTACCTGAAATATTAGTTTATAGTACATATGTTAAAGGCTCTTCATTGCATTCTGTCAAGACTCTGAAAGGTTAGGGCATTTAATAAGTACAACTGAAGACATGACTTCACTCATACTGGAGATGGTGTGGGACTTTCTATAAAAAGAAATTGGAGATTAAATGCATATAGTTTTAAGTACAAATGGAGAACTGTATCAGATGTAAAACACCAAAGGAAAAAGCAGAGGTTAATTCTACCCTATAAAAATATTTTGGCTGTGAAGCCTTCTTCATACCTGAAGAAAGCTCAAAAACTGAAATGTTTTCAGCATAATTTGAAGCAGTCATTGCAAGACTTTAAATTCATCCATTTTTTAACTGCTTCATCCCATTCATGGTTGTGGGAGAACCAGAGCTTATCCAAGCAGCAAAAAATTGGGGTGCAATCCTGGATGGGATGCCAGTCCATCGTAGGACACACACACATACAGTAAACACAGGCATGCACACACTCACACCAGGGTAAATTTTCCAAAATGTCAATTATCCTAGCAGTTTTTGGGAGAAAACCCATGAAAACACAGGCAAAACATACAGTACAAAGGTCATGCAGACAGTACTCCCAATCCAGAATTGAAGTCTATCCCCATGTGGCTCTTATCACTGTGATTTCCAGTTTAAGAGAAACCATATTGTCATTATGCTTTTATATTTTAAAAAACACAATATTAATTCTGAGAAATCAACAGTGATGCAACATTTCTAACAGAAAATTATTTTATCGACAACTGACCAAGCATACCAAGGAATCCGACCATATGTGTGCAATAAGCTTCTGATCTCTGACACATAAATATCAGGACAAGAAACAATAACTCATTCTGTAACCTTCCACCTTTCCTTATGAAGAACTTATTAAGAACTTCTGTACATTGTAATTTTAAACTAGAGGTTTCGGCATGCTCATTCTTACAGGGACTGAACTTCAACAGGAGCTATGCTTTAGTATCTTGTGGCAAATATATATATTTAATTACACCGTCATACTGTATAACTGTTCAGCTTTCACTGAGACATCTTCAATGTACAGTATTCTTGTTAAGCTTTTAATTTTGATTGTACTGGGCAAGAATCAAAGAGATGAAGCCTTGTAAAGAAGCTGCATTTTACATTGTGCTTTTGTAGGATACAATAAGAACATAAAACCCCTAAATATATAAGTAAAAGCAGGAAATCCGTTAAGTTATTTTTATATTTATACTAAAAATCATCTTCAGTAATAAGCTAAGCAGGCCTTTACAGACAAGCAGACATTTTCATGGAGACTTGTTTTTCAAAAGCCAATGCATTATTTTCTACAATAAGATCTAAGGAGAAGCTTAGTTCATATTTAATTCATATTTAATTTAAAACTTAAAAATGTAAAAAAATAAAAAACTTTCCTAAATTAAGATTACTAAGGCTAAGTGACATCTCCTAAAGATTGTTAACATGATTTCTTGAAAAGGCCTGCTTGAAACAGGTGCCAAAACAACAAATTGCTACACAATATTTCACCACACACATAAGAACAAACAAGGGGAGGCAATATAGCCCATCTAGATTGTTATTTCTTCATTAGACAATAACCTGTTCCAAGGTTTTTACTAGAAATATTAATACCCACACGTCTGTACTGCTTAGATTTACTCACACATTTATCTTCTTTCATTAAACCTTGTTTGTTAAAAGCATGTATTTTAATCCTTGCATTTAAACAATAGGCAAATGAGTACAGTATATTCAATCCTCAGTTGAAATGAACAACTTACCTTGGCGCTTTTGCAATTCGTTAAAAGGCAAGTGGCCCATTATCACTACTGCAAAAAGCATACTTTATTTTCAGTACAGCAATCTTCATATAAGTTCTCAGACTGAGGGGTAATAACCAGTGCTAGGCAATGAAGCTAGAAATGTGCTGTGAGAAAACTGACTATTTTCTTCCACAATGCTAATGCATAGCTCTCCCCCAACCACCCCAAACTCTTTTCTTTTTTTTCTTGAACTCCAAGGAGGCAAATCAAACACAGGCACTTTTGTCCAGGAGCACATCACAATCCTGCTGGACATTCACAGCCTTCATTATAATGCAGACAGTCGAGGCATGGAAGTACAAATGGATTTTTTTTCCTTCAAGAACAATAAAGTACTTATTAGGAATATAGCTGGTGTGGCAAAGATGGCAATCTGTCTTTTGCAAGTATTTTGTAAGTAAAAGGGCATAGTTTCTGTTTTGACATTGGTCATATGGGACAAACAAGTTGCTTCTTAAGTTACATGAAAATTATGTGTCCTCCGTGACCTACAGATTTGACTTTATCAAATTAATTTTAACAGGAAATACTGTACATTCAAACAACAGAGAACTCCATGACAGATGTGCATGTTTATGACTTTAGTAGGAGAATTATTATCCTTTAACACAATTGTTTTCATAATAATTGCGACTTGTTTTTATGACATGTAAAATCTATGTATGAGTGAAATATGAAAGAAATTACATTTTGTGATTACACCTGTTTTGTTCAAATGAAGCACTGTGTCATCATCATGAAGCTCTATGTACTTTAAGTATGACAATGCACAGTACGACTAGAAAGAGTCTCTATAGCATGCTAAAGCCACAAATTAGTGCAGTGTACCCCAAGGTGTTGATGGTATAGTACTTCATGAGCTGTTCATTCAAATAATATTACTGTACATTATGAAATGTTATTAAATCAACTTTCCATTTTATCTTAGTATGAATAAACACCTGTTTCAGTATAAAAATGTTTTTCAGAAAAATGCATTCAACAGCAGCTTTAAAATGTATTCTGTTGGCTTTAGTTTTGTGATTAGTATATTTTAAAACATTTTTGCGATATTACATGAAATTTTCAAACTTTCTATATGATTTAAAACATCCATTGAGCAACTATTACTGTTTACCACAGTATTTATGGAAACTCTCTGGAGAATAAAATATAGATATTTTGAGTATCCAAAATATTTAAACAAAATTGTACTGCTCTTTTTTAATGACCAGAAACAAAGTAAAGTATAATTTTAATGAAAAAAATGAAATATGTAGTACTAAATATTAAATGATATTTAACATCTGTTTCTGTTCTGATACAGTACAGTTGCTATGATAACTTGACTCAAGCCAACTGTTTAATTTGAATATGAACAGCTGATAGCATAATAGCAGTTAGGATTTTTGGGAATCTGCGATTGGGAGGGTTGTGTGTGTGATAATGTGTACAAGGTGCTGCTAGGAACACGTATTTGCTAAATTAAAAGCTTTGTTTCAACTGGCAAGAGTTTTGGCATTCATCTCCCTCCTGTCACCTTTTGCTGTTGTCTCATAGGAGTGTATAAAAGGGTGCCCCACCTCATTGTCGAAACAGAAGTATGGCTAGTGTGACTCATAACTGTTCATCTCTGGTCAAGCACCTGTTTTCCTGTTTCTGATTCTCTATTTTCTCTTTGAGATATTTAAATATATCTACAATTAGAGCTAGAAGCTTGCTTTAGTCTTCCTAAAACATGAAACATAAAATTGTTTAAACTGCAGTTTTCTCACAGTATAGTAAGAGTATTAGCATGTAAATCTTTTCATGAGAGGATTGATTTGAAAAGCTCCATTTGAATCAACAAATTGTATGCATAGTACTGTTGGTGATATCAATGTTTTACAAGGCATTTGTTGGGTTCGTTTTAATAAATACATACAAGATGGATGATGATGTCCAAGATGATTGTGTACGTATTTTTTAAAAAGGTGGGAGTTTACTGTCATTGCCAATTACATAATAAGAAAAAAAAATTAAGAAAATAAACCAAACTCTTTATAAAATATTAAGTGTCTATAACTTATAGTATACGTTTGAATACTAATAGCAATAAAGACATACGTTTATTTACTGTATATTACATATAATCTTGCTGTTTCAGGAGAGCATACTCACTATGACAAAATCCTGTCAACTGCAAAATCTGATTAATAGAAGTGTTGCTCTGAAAAAGTACCATGACTTGCCAATTGTTGAGGTGCTAATTCATATTCAAGTTCTTATCCCAAAGGAAATCTACCATCGCTGAACTGAGATCTCATACATTTCACGATCAACATTTACAATTAATCTACATCTTTTTGAAGGAAATACTTGCATGATTAAGACAAAAGAAAGTTGGACCAGGGTGTATTTCAAAAACATTTTGATTCCCCATTATTTTACTCACTTCATATTAAGGTCAGCTGAATTGAACAAGTGCAAATAAAGACATTAAAACACAAATAAAGATTGTTGTAATTCATGTGTAATTTACTACCTATGTTTGCTCCCATTATTATTAGCTTGGCCTGCTCTGAATAAGAGATTAATTGAGTGAATTACTCATCTAAGAGATTGAGTAGAGATATTACAATGCTAAGATCAAAAGTGAGAAAAATATCCTACTTTTGGGGTTTTAAATTAGCAGAACAGTGTGCTAGAGAATCACAACATGTCATGTCATAGTGGAATCTTTTAGGTAAAATTGAAACACTATCAAATAAAAATGTACAAAGCAATATTAAACATTATGTTAAGCCAAATTTGTCTCTTCTTGAGCCACAACATGTCATGTCATAGTGGAATCTTTTAGGTAAAATTGAAACACTATCAAATAAAAATGTACAAAGCAATATTAAACATTATGTTAAGCCAAATTTGTCTCTTCTTGAGCCACAACATGTCATGTCATAGTGGAATCTGTCAGGGCATATCATCCACTGTGCCCATTTCTAGGGTTGATTGGCTCTGGCTCCCTTCGTGACCGTGTATTAGATAAAGCAGTTAGAAAATGGATGGGTGGACTGATGAGAAAGTTAATAGCAGTCAATGAAGAGTCAACCACCATTATAATAATACTTTTGACTAGATATACTAGATCTGCTTATAATACATTCATATGATGTTTAAGCAGCACATTTAGTTTTATATAAGGTTAGAATTTCCAGTGTGGTGGCCTTAAGACATGCTTAGATGCAATGCAAATGATGAACATGCTCTAGAAAAGGCAATTTTGTTTCCACTCCAGTAATTCTACTGAAATAAGATTTATTCAGTTACAAAGCAAAAACAGTTGATTTTGTAATTTATTGAAGATTTTGATTTTGATATAAAAAGTTAGTATGATAAAAAGTCATGGTTAGGTCAAGAAATGTTTTCATTACAACAACTTTGACAATAATTAAAAGCTAGAGTAAAAGGTGAGTTTTGAGACAGTATTTAAAAGTGTTGACAGACTTGAACGATTTGATATGGGCTGGGAGATCATTCTGTTGTCTCAGAGCAACACAACAAAAAAAGGCAAAAAAACGTTAGAAACTGAAAGAAGGCCGACATCTAGAGATGGCATGCAGTTGCCAAGAGAGTTAACTGGTTGAGTCAAGAGCCAAACCTTATAATCACTACAGGTTAGGCAGCAGTATTTTAAGAAAATCCAAAGGAAGTGGAAGGAACCTGCACAACATAATATATTTCCATGCACTTTCGTTTAGAATCTGATTGGCTGAGTTTTGAACATGCCTTTAAGTTGTTAAATAACATGTTTAGATGCACCAAAGAGTACTGCACTACAAGAAGAAAGCCTGGAAAAGACAAAAGTACACTTTAGCCTTTTCATATCAGCTTGGTACAAAATTGAGGAAATACAAGCAATGTTGCAAAAATGAAAGAAAAAAATACTTTCATAACACTACAAACATGAGCTCCAAATGCAAAAACTGTCAAAATTCCTGACCTTACATGCCAGCAGGGAGTAAATGAAGATTTATTAGTTAGTAAAAATCTGTAGAAATTACCATGGTAATCTAATAGTGGCATTCAGTTGGTAGTATTTTAGCATAAATCATTTACAGTATTTACCACACCCAGATAAGATACACAATTTCTCAATGCTGTAGATGCCAGAGACAGTGATTTTATTTGCTTTGACTTTAATTTGTGAAGCTATCCCAATGTATGGAGAAATCTAGCTAGTACAGGAAGGGTCAGGTTTGAGTGATGATCTAAAGGATTTGGTGAAATATTGATCTGCTGCAATCCATTGTCATGATCATCATCCCTCCTCTAAAGGGGACTCCGACCCTTTTGTGCTAAGTTCATTATCACGTTCACCTGCCCCCTTGTTCCATTCTTTATTTAAACCTGGTGCTCCGGAACCTCGGGGCTCAGAATTGGAAGACGGGCGTCTGGAGGCCCGTCTAGCATCAAGTCGCCCTACATCCGCAGCTTGAGGGCTTAGGCTTCCGATCGGCATCCTGACCGAGCTGAGTCTGGGGCTTGGAGCGCCTGGACTCATCAGTCTGTTTTAACCTCCTGTCCTGTTCCGGATTCCGCTCCAGATTTTAACGTTGTTCATCTTGTCTTGGATGAATCACCCAGGTTTAGATTTTGGACTGTGCCCGGATTTTCCAATTGGACTCACCTGGACTTGTTTGCCTGTGCTCTTCCCTTGCACCTGACCACTGTCGGCACCGCCCCCTGTTTGCCATTCCTCCCTTTCCTAACTGTGTTTTCCCCGTAGCCCTTTTCCAGTCACTTCCGGGTTATACCATCTGCACAGGGCCTAAACTGCACTTCTTTACATCCATAGTCCTGGCATGATAAGAGATGTTATAAGAGAGAAAAGAAGCCCAATGCAGAATCTGGTATGATTGAAAATGTCTGGGTCTGTGGAGCTTGTATGGAGATTTCATCATGTTGGGCATTGGAATCTATTTTCTGGAAGAACTTGTTTTCAGGGTCCTCCAAAATATATTTCCATAAATGGAAAGAACAAGAAAGAGGACTTCAAGGTCAACAGGGCTTCTTTGATAATGCAGACTGAGACATACAGTATGAGAGAGATGTACAAGAGAAAGTTCAGGAAGGTAACATATACTGTATACTGTATTTAGCAGAGTTGATGTGGGACAGACTA